ATAAATGATTGAGGATTATAATAAACTAAGTCATTTTAGGGTTAACGAGGGTTAACTATTCGAAAAATCAATCCAAAATCTGAGTATTTTTCAGTTTTACGCTGACTAAGCTTTATAGTCGAACTAATCAATCTTTAGACAAAATTATAATGAACACAGAAGTAATTTTAACATAAATATTTTACGGAATCCGTTCCTGAAATATGCAAATAATAACATACCAAAAATTCGGGAAAAAAATCTAATCAGGGGAACACTGTTCATTATAAAGATATTTAATTGGTTAAAATCAAACGCTTTATTGCACAACTGCTCTGCTGGAAGCGTATAAATGCATGTCGTTGCCAAGTTGTTACTAACGAAAAAAATGTGAATTATAGTGCCATTATGCAACCTGTCAGACATACCTCAATTTCCAAAGATTTCGGCAGTAATGCATTATTTTTTATGGTTATGACAGCAACCGGTTCTTTAACACTTTCATCTAGGGTTAGTGTTACATCTAACCTCAATTTGTAACAAAATTTGTTGTCGAGTATACAATAACATTCTGTACGAATGCAGTCGCCAGTCTAATACAGAAAAACAAATACTATATTGTGAATATACTGCTTGTACAAAAAATATGTCTTTTCTATATGGCCGTGTTTTGCAGCACTTACAATTTATCCGATAAATTATCTTAAATTTCCCTCCAAAATGTTATCCCATCATCCAATATTATAGACACCAATGCAACGTGTTTAATACCACAGCATCCGTGTTGTTGACCTGCGATTTGACATCGGTCAAAGGTTATTTATTTTTGCATACGGAGCTTTTTTCGATATATTATCTGATTACCATACGGAAATTTATCGGAAAATTTATGCTCCGTTTCCGCAGCAAAAAGTAACAAAATGGCCGCTTTCCGGCAATTTATCGGATAATATGTGCTGCGGAAAAACGGCCTATATTTCCTTTAATAATTCGGTTTTGTAATTATTTATAATAATAAAACAGCATTCATAATTCGTTCATAATTTATTTAGAAAAAAGTACTATCACGGCATGATAGTACTTTTTTGCCCTGTCGCGATGTAATCTCTATACTAGGCCCACTTTAACGTGGTTGCTATGCAACACATACGCAGCTACGATAAAGAGGACGTGATTGACCTCTCTACGGACGCTGAGAGATATTGACCCTTTGATCACCTAGACCTAGGAAGTAAGCCTAGGCCTACTTGGTGGATACTCTTTCATTACATTTTTAGGCCTCGTAGAAACTATGTATGAGGTATAAAACAAATACCGTATCTGCTCTAGTTACGGGAAACGGTGAAATCTATAACCCCTCGGTGATGTGGAGACCGTAGCCTCGGGACAATAGATTTCACCATTATTTTTTTTTTCCTTTGGAGACATTTTGAGACCTTTTGAGTTTTTAAATTAATCAACTCTGTTATTCAATACATTACTCCACAATTATTCTTGTTTCTTGTAGCTATAATCTACAATTACTTGTATATGGAATTTATTGCGATATGTTACTTTCCTAAGGACAGATCAGTTACCATAAAATTGCTCCTTTTGAAGAACTTTACAAAAGAATATTTCATACTTATTAATAGAACGTATATTTTAACTAGATTTCAATGAGGTTATAAACATATCTGATACACTCAAATTAGCTATTAAGCTGTCAGGTGGTATATAGTTACTCCAGACCTGTTATTATATTTTGTTTGGTTTTGTAAATTATAATTTTACTTGACTAATTCAGATATTCTAACACATTAAAGTATTCTTGCGTTCATTTTAACTGTTGAGTAAGATATTCTAGATTAATTGTGTAGCATTAATATTAATTGTAGAGTAACATATTTTGAAGGTTTTCTACTTTAAGCTTCCTAAATATGTTATTTTGGAGTCCTTACTTACAGCTTTAAAATCATCTGTATAGCCTTCTGATAAGATGGTTCTGTCTTCTTTGGAAATCATCTGCCAGTGAAGGCTCATGATTCCACTTTCTTTATCGTATGCAGTCACATGTGCACTGTATTAAAATGTATAAGGCATTTAGTATCAGCCAAAGTTTGCAAATTCTGACACTAACAATATAAAGTAAATTATACAGTATATACGTTTTAATACTTACACATTCCGATCACCAATTTCAATATCTTCAAATTGGGGTGGTGTAGAATCAATGTGGATTGATACAAAATCTGTCTGTGTGTTATTAACAATATCCGTTGCTCGAACCCAAAATCTAACGGCTTCTTCTCCATTATTTAATTGATAAAGGTACGTTTCTTCCTGTAAACACCATAATTTGTGAATTTACAAATTTTCTTTTATGAAGATCTACGGTAGGAAGTTTACTTTTCATTTTCTTTTTGTCTTTTGGGGTTTTTTTTAGTGATGGTATGTTTACTGCAATATATTATTATTATTTTGTGTAGTAGCAGACAGCAAATAATAATATCTTAAGAATACCACAATAATTTTCAACCGTAATACCATATAGGCAAGGCCTAATGAATTTTATTATAAAACTCGGTACAAAACAGACATGTTTCGGCAAATCCTTCGCCATCTTCAGTGTAACGATTGCTAACATGCAATCTACTATATAAAGGGAGTGAACAACGGAGACAAGAAATAATAACATAGGCAGTTGACGTTTTTTCAGGATATATAACAATTTATTTAATAACGAATATTTTAGGAGCGCCTGCTCTCTTCTTCAGCGTAATGCTGAAGAAGAGAGCGTAGGCATTACGCTGAAGAATAGAGCAGGTTCTCCCGAAATATTCGTTATTAAAATAAATAAATCATAGTCAATAAAATGAATAAATGTACATATATCCTGGAAAAACGTCAACTGACTATGTTATTTTTTCTTGTCTCCATTCTACTACATATATATGTTATATATGTATATATATATATATATACAGTGTATATATATATATATATATTACATATATATATATATATATATATTGCTAGATCAGTAAGTCAAGGGTATATTTGAAACTACAACTAAACTTGTCTTAAGTTGACTATAATTAATAACAATCTGGTTTTATGTCATTCTCTAAAATATGATTTCGGGTAATACAATGTATTTTATTTCCAAATGTGACTAAAACAATAATTATAATCATTATAATCATCAGTATTAGTTATATTTCAAACTTATCGGTGAACCCCACGGTACCAGATCATTTGGTAAAGCCATCCAATCTGGCTGAAGTTTATCTTTAGCGACACCAACTTCAAACTTAACAATTCCATGTCGATTATTAATGGACGATAGAGTACGTCCTGTTGGTAAACCATCCGAATCGTAGGCTTTATTAATGACGTCATTGTTAGTTTCAATAGCGTGCAGCATACTTTGGTCTATGTGTAGTTGGTTAACAAAATGGCCCTGCCATGACACTCTAATCTGAAAAAATAGTTTTTAAAAAAAGAATTATATAGGAAAGTACCATCATCTCATTATCATCAATGTACTTTCTGCCATGACCATAATCATGCTAATCCAATCAACATCATCATCACATCTATGTCATCATTACCATCATCCTCATCTATATCATTAATATAAAGTTCATCATCACCAACAACTTGTGTTTCCCTTATTACACTGATTATCATTATCGTTATAATTATCATCAAACGTCTATAATCATCATCATAGATATGGTACCATCATAATCACCATTGTCGTGACTACCATTACCATCATCATGATCATCATCGCCACCATCATCATCATCATCATCATCATCATCATCATCAACATCAACATCAACATCATCATCATCATCATCATCATCATCATCATCATCATCATCATCATCATCAACATCATCATCATCAACATCATCATCATCATCATCATCATCATCATCATAAAGGTCATAGGCACTTAATCTTTCAGTTAGAATCACCCTTTATCATAATGTGTATCATCAACATAACGTCGGAATCAATAATCATCATAAATTTCACCATCATAATCAACTGCATTATCATACTTATCGTTATATTATTATTATTATTATTATTATTATTATTATTATTATTATTATTATTATTATTATTATTATTATTATTATTATTAATTTATTATTATTATTAGTATTAATATTATTGTATTATTATTATTATTATTATTATTATTATTAATTATTATTATTATTATTATTATTATTATTATAGAAATCATTTTCAATACTTATAAAACCGTACAATTTTATCAGTAGATGTCCATGCATCGGATTCTAGAAGATTAAGCTTTTCTCCATCAACCACTAGCTCCATAGGTTTATCGTCTACGATCGAAATTTCACTTTGGTCATCAAAAACAAGGCAACGTCGAGCATGGCGAACGTTGCCGGCAAAGTCACTAACGGTCAACAGGGTACAGTATACACCTATTTTATGAAAACAATTGTTCAATTCCTTAGGTCTTGTAAATTAAACTTCATTTCACAGTTGGATAATACTAATTATGATCTTAAGACTGCTGCAATACTATGCTAATATTATGTAGTTTTGATAATGACACAAAAACAAAACAATATCTGTTTCTATATGGATATTCTTGATAGCTATTACAGCAAATTTCCGCATGATACAATGTGCCATTATTTATTTAATTATCATTATAATTTTTTATTATTGGCTTCACCCACTGGTGCTGCTCTACAGACAACTTAGAAATTACTTATACACGAAGTCTGTCACTAACACCTGTCGTCTATCAAACCATGGGTGGCTAGTCATAACCAGCTAAATAAAGTAATAAAACATCAGCAAAAATACATTTAAAATATTGATAACGATAATGGTCTACCTGGAGATGTTAGTTCGAAGTCTGCCTCATAATAATTTCCAATTTTCAAATGATAAAGACTGTAACAAGTGCCATTAAAAGAAAGCACGTCATTATTCTCAACCATTTTGCAAATTCTGCAGTCATAAGACGTTGCTGTCAATCCTGAAATATGGTCCACCCATGTTGACCACTTAACCTTCTGCTCACTCTGTATATTATCAGAGTAATAAAAATTATCTTTCAAAGAAAGTATGAATATGCTTTGTAGAGTATGAAGTGTTTTTTACATAGCGTAAAATTCGTTTATTTTTCATGCATTTGGTTTGTGTACAACATGTTGTTGCGATGTACTGTTTATTCATCTGTGTAATGTTTTGCTTAAGACTCGAGGTATACAAAATTTAACACATTCAGTTACCACCGAACCAGTTCATCAACCCCTACTTTGAGAATGATTGGGTAGAAAATACCAGATACTAAACCAGGACTACAATCAATCAATCAATCCAATTAAATCAACTAAATCAATTACATTTTTTAGTCATTGTAATGACACTAAATTTGATTCTCAATAAATAATATATTGTGAAATATATATTTATCTTAACCTCACCGAGGTAGTGTATGGATCACCGATGTCAAGTGCATATCCAATGCAAGTCGTGTCACTTGTGACATTAACAGAACAGTGAGTTGGCGCCTCATTGTCGACAGTTACGGTCAAATATCTTGTTACAGTTTTACCCTCATAGTACACGGGTTCACGGATTGTCCCGACCATTGAATAATCGTAGTTGTTCAGTCTAATAAACCCGCCATTCGTTGAAGAAGCTGTTATTATTAACCTGAAAATTACATTTTATAATTAATATTGGTAAAGTATTAATGCACTAATTTCAAATTTAATCAACACTTCAGACAATAAATCATTCTCGTATTCAGGTATTAACTGGGAAATGTTAATTATCTTTATTTACAATAAAAAAAAATTACATCTTTATAAATTCTATCTATATTATTTTAATAATTTGTAAACCGAGTGACAATTTACATAAAGTATTATAATCATTATTTTTTTTTATTTCTAAGGACAGAAGGTCAACTTATTTTCAGAGACTCTTCAGTGAAAATATAATAATGCGATGCTTTTAAACTCTTTATGAAGATTAACGTATTAAATTAGAGAGTGGCATAATTAGAATTGAGGACGTAACCGTCAATATTGACACGTTAAAATCATAAGTTAATTATTACATACATTACAGCACATATATAGCGCTATTTCATGGAGATCAGAGCGCTTGAAACGTGCAACTAATGCAACTTTTTTGCACAAGATAAAATAGATTATTTGGTAAATAATGTTGGGGGTTTCTTTATGGCATGAGCTTTGTAGCGTAGAATAGGTCCAAATTATTATGAAGTTAAACATTTCGCGATTTCTAAAAGTCATGCAGTATTAGCGTTATACCGACTGTTTAAGACGCCAGGTTCTGTTTTTTTTTTTTTTTTTTTTTTTTTTTTTTTTTTTTTTTTTTTGTTCTGTTCACTGTGTTTCGTCAATAACCATTTCAATTTAGTTTCCATTGTTAATAAAATGTTGGTGTAGGACTACTAAAGAACAATGGTCATAAAAATAAAAAAAGACATACTGTAGTTACGTTTAAGTTCATGTTCATCTTACTTCTTAAGAAGTTAAATAAAAAATCTATTATTATTTGATTCTAAAAATATGATTGAACAAAACTATCTATAGGCCTATTTGTCAAATTTTGCCCATTTTAATGACGGCTGAAAAAATGCTGTAATAAATTAGTTGAATCTTACTTGTCGTTGTTTTGAAGATTGTCCATTAATTGTTCATATCGTGTACAAACATGTTTGTCCGGATTTGGGTCGTCTTCATTGTGGTTTAAACTACAATCAATTTCTCCAGAATATATTGTAATGTCACCTATCAACCACAATTATAGAGATAATTATTAAACTGTCTTGTTTAAAAATTTACACTGAAAGAAAAATATAAGTGTTTGATTATTTGAATATCAGAGCCGAGGGTGATCTATTCCCATACGGAATAATTATGGATGCTTTAATGCTATCAAATATGTACATAAATATTATTTTTCCAAAAACTCCATAATTCGAGAAAACTTTTTTTATTTTCCATTCTCTACGAACAGGTAATGGCCAACCATCGTTACTGTAATCAAATCATAATACAACAATTTAAAAACAAAACTGTTAAATTACGAAACTATTATTTAATTAAGACGATACATGCATCTTATATTTTGTTTATATTATATTGGTCTTCTACATAGACATGCGCAATGGGAACTATGAGATTAATCATACGTGAAAGCAATGTCCCACAAAAGGACAGTGTGAAAACCTACGGTACGCAAACACGTTCGTCTGTGGGACAACACGTGTGTTTGTAAGACAAACGCTTATTCCTGGCCCTGGTCAATTGTTAAATTTGATTGACACTCCGAAACAGTCTATTAATAATGGAGATCTGTCAGCTAATTATAACTTCTGTATAAAATTATCCGATCAACTTACGCCACCCTGACACTTGCACGACTTTTGTTCCTGCAATGCCGCGCAACGCGTCGTGGCAAGGCGTGCCATTTTGGTGGTACGCAGCGGAGCGTGAAGCCGTGTTCGCTCACTGTACACGTAAGTTATGCACTGTCTACGCAATGGCACTACTTTTTTACGCATAGGTTAAGGCTATGTTCAGACACAACGACTTATGCCACCCTGACACTTGCACGATTTTCGCTCCCGCACTGGCGCGCACACCCGCACTGGGGCGCCATGTCGTAGAGAGAATTTTAAAATGTTCAAAAATTCGGCACGTATCAATGTTCGTGCCATATGCGTGAAACATGCGTGAACACTGCGCGAACTCGGCGCGAACACTGCCGACGGTGCGTGTCAATTAAGAATGCTCTTCCTCTTTCTGCCTTTTCTCCTCTCTTCAAGAAGTAATAGCCAGCAGTTGCCAGATATAGACACCTTCTCTGTTCTGCAATAACACTGTCTCTGGGATTCAGCATAATATTGTATCGTCCATAGCGAGTCGAAGAAAAACCTACGCTGTAAATAGCGTGCCGCCAAGCGGGACAAATCCTGACCAAAAATTGCCACGGTACAGTAGATGTTAGCAATGGGCGAACAATACTTAACCTATGCGTAAACAAGTAGTGCCATTGCGTGTCAATACGTGTGAACCATAGAGGTATAATAAGAATACTAGAGCGCTAACCGCAATGTATTCGATGTTCGAAATACGCAGAACTGTGTGTGTGTACCATCCAAGATGGCTACCATAGATTTAGCCAATCAAATTTCGCTAAGCGCCATCGTTTGCAAATGTGCCCTCAATTTACTCAGAAAGTTCAGTACAGCTAGTTACCTGTATGTTTGAAACTCGAGCGTTGCGGTGTTTGGGTGTAATGTATACGATTTTAATTTTTATTCCTTGGTAATTTATTTTTGAATAAGATGCTTCACTTGGCCTCGTTTTGGCTACAATAGTTTAATAATTTATTATTACCATTGCACATTATCATTAATGAAATAATAGTCAGTCAGAG